CGTCCTGGTTCACAATGTGATCAGTGCGCATGTAGGAGTCATACAGACCGTCCCCGTGGCGAGCTGTAGAGAAAGAGTGAAAATGAGCCTGGGATTAGATTGTGAAATCCACAAGCAAAATATTAATACACATTTGCCACATCATCATCATCATCCAATACACCCATTACATAAATGAGGATTTCTATTACACAAACATAAGGAGAAAAAAAAAAAACAATGTTCCCATCTGAGAAACACAAATCCCCTTAGGGAGGTATGTAACCAAGTTGCAGGTGCGCCAGACAACAGACAGTTCCTTGAGCACATTACACAGCAGGTGGCTACATATTAAACCAAGCTTCATGACTCAGTTTCAGCAGTTTCCACAACTCTGACCGATTATGTTAATAAAACGTCTTAATGACATAGACCACTTTTGCCTTAAGGCAAATTCCGTCCAAAAATGAGTGACAATTTCGTGTCACTCCAAACCTGCATGACTTTAGCTCTTCCATGGAACACAAATGGAGATATTTTGAATAATGTTTATTTTTCTGTACAATGAGAGTATAATGATGTTTTGAACCCCATTGGCTTGTATTGTACAGACAAAAAGCACTGACTCATTTTACAAACATTTTCTTGTGTGTTACACATGAGATAAATCAAAGTTTGGAAGAACATGAGGGTGAGTAAATAATGAAAGTGAAACAAAGGAACAAAAATGAAAATTTTTGGGAGGAGCATCCCTTTAAAATAATGAATCCAGTAGGCTGTATTACTACATGGTTGATGAAATTAGCACTGAATGTTAAAAACTAAACGATCTTGGCATTTTGATATATGTTCAACTACACAAACCCTCACATACTATACACCTATTGAGCATTCAGACCCCCTTACTATCATTTACGGAGATGTCAATTGAATAAACTGTTAATATGTATATAATATGGCCTGTAGGGACTATTATTCTCACTTTCCAATGAATTTTCACTGCTGGCATACATATGCCAGCTTTATTAGCTGAAATTTAAAAAAGATGTGATTGTGAAGCTTGTTTAAATTTGCTTAATTTAGTACATTAACAAAGAATTATTAACACAGGCAGTGCATTCATAAGAGTTAATCGCCTGTCTTCAACAAGTCTTCACTTGCCAAGGGGACCAAGTCCAGCCACAGCAAACTCACAGAGCTGGATATTACATTTCATATGGATATAATTACCTGCAGTTATGGGGCCATCTGGTTTTCTGCTCAATATCATCATGGTTGCATGCAGTCAACATCAAATATTTCCTTTTCCTCTGAAAAATGTTTTCACTAAAGCAAGATCCATCCACAACAACAATGCAGTGTCCTTCTAATGAGATTATTAAAATATCAACAGAGTCTCATATCCGAGGTGAAGCTTGTCAGATGTTCAGAGGCTAGGTAGACGATTTCACAGTGCTGCAGGGTTCAGGCATGATCCCCTTCAAGCTGTTTTCACGAGGCTTATCAATTTGACCACCTGTACTGCAAGTCTGGAGAAGTAGTGTAACAGAGGTATCTGTATTTCCAGCAAGAAGGTCCGAACCCATAGATAATGGAGCTGGATGTGCATAAATTCACAAATGCATCGGAAGAAACCAAATAATGGCTGTGAGAAGCGGTCGTCCTCGATAATAACGATGGTGGTGATGATGATGATGATGATGATGATGAAGACTCAAAGTTGCAGGGGACATAAAAGCGTTTCCGTAATGGCAAACTGTCTTCCTAAAGCACAATTAGACTGAGTCCAAACATTAAACGGATGTCGACCACCTCCACTCTTCCCCTCTCTTAAATATCGTGGTGCTGGTTTGAAAAGAAGAGTCATCCCAGCCCGAGCACACGGTCCAGCGGGCAGCTAAAGCTCAGGCTAGCGTTTCCTCTTTTCCGGATAGTACAAGCCTACCTTACTTTCATTATAAAAACAAGGAGGTCAAATTAACTCACAATCCCTTCCAAACACTCTTCGTCATGTCAAACAAGTGTTCTCGCGAATCGTCTGACTGTTTTGGATGCGCGTTCCGTCTCGTAATGGTGCGCTTATGGTTGTGTGGTTTCTTAGCTTGTTGCTAAGAGCATCTTCTTCGCCCAGCGCGACGTCATCAAACAGGCGTCTGCCTGGGGCGCGGCCAAAACAACGCCATTCCGGCTCAAACTTCCTTTAGTTTCAAGGCTTAACAATTGGGCTAAGACACAAGGAAGTAAATGCCTGTTGAGCCAAAATGGGGCTGTTTACTGGAGAGGGAGTTTAAATCAAGACATAAACACAACGAAACTAGAACATGAATATAAATTACTCATGTGATTTCAGCAATGACGATTACATCATTTTTCATTTATATTTTATTTACGAGCATAGACTTTTAGACTGGCAGAAAATTGCAAGAGGAAATAAAATTTAGTTTTAATTATTATTATTAATATTATTATTATTTTACAGCTGAGTGATACTAGTCATATAGGAGACAGTGTATTTTTTTTTCTTGGAAAATGACTGTTCATGATTTAAAGGGCATATAAATGTTTAAAGGGCCTTGGTGGAACAGAAAAAAAGATGTTATTAATATCATTAAGGAGGTTCTATACATTAAATAAAAAGGTCTGACTGAAAAACATTTATTTTCTTTATTTTTTTAGAATTATTTTTTTCACAATTTCAAACAATACTGTAGTGACTGGTGTATGTAAAACAAAATGATTATTGGAGTGTGTAATATTATTATTAAATACAATGTTGATAGATGTAAGTGAACTGACACCATTTTCAGTTGGTTTTATACACTGGTACTTTTTCGCATTTGCATTTTTACGTTTAGATTTGCATTTCCAGTAACACAATAATAATACTGTAATTAAATAATTAAATAACTACAAAAGATGCGAACTCACATACAGAGACAATGAGTGATAATAGCTCATATGCAATATTGTGTCCATTGTGTCCACTTTGCAGTTTAAAATGGCCTATATAGAGAAAAAAAAGGCATGCAAAAAAAAAAACGGTATGCAAATTAATGTAAAAAAGAAGACCAACTGTGACTCGTATTCAAAAATGATGATTTTGAATCAATGTAAGTGGAAGATTTTTTGTTGAAATTTTGAATTTTGAAGTATGAAGTTACATAGATGGATGGCACAACTAAAACAGCAATCTCCAAAACAAAGTTATAAGATTTATTGCAAGATAAATATGGAAAATATCAAAACACAACGATCCTAGCGTGATCCAAAGCTGTGCTGCATATCCTAAATTGCCTTGACAAGTCTGGTGCTGTTGTCAAACTCTTTACAGCCCAGATACAGATCAGCACAGGCAGAAGAGCACATGCAGGGGTGATATGGTGAGACATGTCAAGCTAAATTGGGTGTGCTTACAACAGGACCGCAGTAAAAAAAAAAAACGGTATGCAAATTAATGTAAAAAAGAAGACCAACTGTGACTCGTATTCAAAAATGATGATTTTGAATCAATGTAAGTGGAAGATTTTTTGTTGAAATTTTGAATTTTGAAGTATGAAGTTACATAGATGGATGGCACAACTAAAACAGCAATCTCCAAAACAAAGTTATAAGATTTATTGCAAGATAAATATGGAAAATATCAAAACACAACGATCCTAGCGTGATCCAAAGCTGTGCTGCATATCCTAAATTGCCTTGACAAGTCTGGTGCTGTTGTCAAACTCTTTACAGCCCAGATACAGATCAGCACAGGCAGAAGAGCACATGCAGGGGTGATATGGTGAGACATGTCAAGCTAAATTGGGTGTGCTTACAACAGGACCGCAGCCAGAGCATGCTATTCTTAGCAGTCAGTCTTAGGGGAAGCTGAAACCTGTCTATATGTGTGTCTTTAGATGACATATTGACATTGTTTTCAGGCTGATCTCTCAGTAGCAGACTGAATGGGTGTGAGCACTCATATCAGGGCTCTTTAACATTATGATGGACACTCACAACTGCTATCTTTTTGTGGGGACTTAAAAGGTTTCTTGGTGTCCTTAAAATATTGCATGCCTTTTCCAAGTATGGGCATGCTGTTGAACCTGTAGGTGGATTTTACTGAGTGTTTATTTAAAGTGTGGAGTTCAAACTGAGTTTACAACTGAAAGTAGCATGTTTTTTTTGTAAACTGCCATGTGTACACAAACGTGCACAATGCACTATCTGATCCTTGGCTTTTCTTATTTGTTCTAGACACAACGGAGTATTTGTGAAAACATAGTGCTTGCGCCTTGCTGTAGTTGTACCATATAAATACATAGTTTAGTATGCACAGTATCTAACAGATTACAAGTTCTTTAACTATGCTTCTCTCTATTACAAATAACCTTTGGACATCTAGGAGCAAGATGTGTTTGCATTTAAACTACATGATTAGGGTTCCCTCTGCTGGTTGTGTATGACTTGTGCAACCTTGACGCTACACTAGTATTACAACTGGTCAATTTTCTATAGATAAAAAAACAAAACAATTACGTTAACTTATATCAGTCACATAATACAAGATAGCAAGTAAAAGTTTGTGATGCAGAATTTAATATTACCGTGATTTTTAAAGCTAAAAAGGGTGAAAATGTAATATCATGCACCTAAACTGGTTTTTAATTTGAATAAAATATACATTTATTTTGTAATAATTTCTGAATCTTTTAAGTGTGACAAATAGTCTTATGCAAAAAAAAAAAAAAAACAGGAAGGGGGCAAAACCCTTTTCACAGCACTGTGTGTGTGTGTGTGTTTATATAGTACATTGAATGACAAAATTGATGTAGAAACGATGTTTTCACTAAGAAATTGTTGGTAAATTTCACAATTACAAAAAATCTGCAAATAACACATTGAATAAAACATGACATTTTTAATACAGATTTGTTCATAACCCCAGTTAGTTGCTTCGTTTATTTCAGTGTAAATAAAAGAGACTCATCACCATGAAAGGGTGACCTTTTATTTCATTCTTCAGTATATTTACAGCTTACTAGACATTTTAAACATTTAATACTCAAAAAAAAAAAAAAGATTGCCCAATAGTACTGATTTGTCCACATATTCAAGTTTAAACACACTGAAACTAAACCAAAAATAAATTAAACAAACACTCACTCACACACACGTCAACATTTTAAACACTAGTCCCAAAAAGTCCCACATGGACTTAATGGCTCAGACATTGAAAGCACCTGGCTACTGCCACTGAATGTGTGTGAACTCTCTCAACGTGGAGTTATAGGGAAGGACATCTAGAGCATATGTACAGTACACAGTCAAGATAAGCTACACGGAGACTCAAGGCACTGCCAACAGGAACATGGCTGTCAGGGAGAAGCATCCTGAGCAGACATACAAGGCCCTGCCGCTTGCTTAGAGTAGAAGTGATACTTCCAGTCCAGCAGGATCTGTAACCATACAAGATCAAAATATACAGGCCGAGCACATGGGCAGAGTGATCCAAATGGAAATGTATGACTTTTAAATGGCCTCTACAAACATACCAGTCCGAATTATAATTCAGACCTCTGCCATCACAAATCTGCTTGCTAAAGATGTCCTACTTCAGTGCTTTTGAATGCTTTTCACAAATAATAAATTCCCTCAGCGTCACAGACACATTCAATTCACATGCACCTTCAAAATTCAGCAGACGCGCAATAAAATATGCTTATTATCAAAGCCAAAAAAAATTATAATTAAATCCATCTCATGTTCCCTATACAGAATAACATTGACTACTGTACATACTGGCGGACCACTCAGTGGTTTGTGTCGGTGTGCAAATCACAGACATCCTGACTCCACTTTACATTAGCAGAAAGATCTTTATAAAAGCTTTATTTTGTAATTACAATACAGGGAGCTTGTTCTGTTTTCCTTTGGTGTAATACAGATTGAGATGCTTGTGGTTTGGATCCGCAGAGCTTTTCAGAGTGCTGATCTAGGAGATGCCCTCTAATCTAACATGACCTTGTGTATTACTGTATGTGCTAAAAGCTGAACTGATTAAAAAAAGCTTACCAGATAACCACAGCTCGCAATCCTCATGTTCGCTGATGCTCCCTGCACATTAAGTACTGGTGGCGCACTTGAGAGACTGAGGTGATTTGTCAGTGCTGAGCATTTCTAAAAGCTTTCATGGGACAACCGAACGGTCTTTTTCTAGAGAGTAGCAGTCGACGTGGGACCAGAGGAGCTCAAAATGTCTGCGTCTGATCATGCTCAGCAGCCCATATCTATTCAAACACTTTTTTTGTATAGATATAGTGGCTAGTGAGCTTCACGACAGAGATGTGCAGCCATTTTGATCATTTAAATAGAAAGAAAGAGATATTTTGCCTCTGTGGGGTGAAACATTATCAGTAATACAGTACTCCAGTATAAACAGTATAATTCATTTTTTTTACAGTAGCATGTTACAACTGTTTATGAACTGTATAATTTGATATGTGGACAAGGTTACTATTTGTCCTCTGATATTTCGCAGGCATCATATTTTCTATAAGTTCAGTCTCCCCACTTCCTTTTCGGACAGGAAGTGCTTTTTTTACTCCACTCTTTCATATAGATATTCCCTGATAGAGGACATGCGGTAGACACAAGCAGAGAGACCAAAGGGAAAGTCATGCTTTAAGTAACACTTGCAGTAGCAGCAATAGCAGCAGTATGTAAAAAACACAAACAGACAGGGTCAATGTAAAAACAATGAGAAAAAAACAAAACGAAACCCATTCATATCAAAAAGCATGACTGCCAGAAACATATTCCTGGGCTTTCAACAGTGTGCCATTTCTGGAGAGAAGGATTACTCTTGAAGTACTAATCTTTAGTTCCAACCTCCTCTTCGTCTTAGTCATGTCTCGATCCCTTCGCCCGTCTTTGGGGGTTAAAGGTCACAGAAGCATGCTGAGAGCTTGTACAAAGTCCTGAGTGGAGGTTTTGAGTTCGTCTGTTGGGCTACTGGTCCTCCAGGCTGGCCCAGTGTTGGCTCAGTGGGGTGAAGGAGATTCGTTGTCCTACATTAGCCCGGTTTGCTCTCGACTTGACCCAGAGCCCGTAGCAACTTCTGCCTGTAGGCAGTGTAACGCTGCTCCACCTGCCGCATGCGCTCCTTCTCCTCCTTCTCCAGGATGATCAGGAAGTTCTGCAGCTCAGGGACTGAAAATGCATGCCACTGAAAAAAAGATGGAACACATTATTAGCAAAGGCACACATATGAAATAATAGACAGGAAATTATTTGTCTAAAATAGAACTGTCTATTAAACCTATGTTTTTGTTTGCATGTGTTAGGGTTAGTTGCATGGCTTATGTCAGTGTGTTGATCAGAACATTAATTTAGTTTTGTAGAGTTTCAGTGGAAACACTGAATATAAATTCACATATTAATCACATTATCATGAAATTTTTTTTTTTTAAATCATAGCAAAAATGTGCTTTTATTTTCATTATGATAAAGCAGGCTAAAAAAATATATGTACAAATATAATTTTTTCTGCTTTGTAGAGTTTGCTGTATCTCAAACAGCCGAGTATGGCACTAGAATCGGTCAGGGTTTCGATTACCACGTAAATTAAAAACTGATTAAATGTAAATGTGTACCTTAAATGCATTGTAAATTGTGTGATTAAATCTAAAATTAGTTTTTATTCGTAATGATAGAGAAGATGAAAAAAGTATAAACACACACACACACACACACGTTTGTTTCTGTGAATTCTGGGGACTTTCCATAGAGTTCTATTACTTTTATACTGACCAAACGATATTTTCTATCCCCTAACTCTAAACCTACCCCATACAGAAAGCCTGTTTGCATTGTTACACTTTCAGATAAACATCATTTACTATTTGTAATCATTTTTCCCCCCTCGGCTCGTGGGGACTGCAGGCCGGTCCCCACAATGTCAAAAAGAAAATTTTTATTTATTTAAACTGTGTGTGTGTGTGTGTGTATTTAATTAAATGATTAAAATACTTGATCATATTTATGGTGGTGGGCAAATATTACTTTTAGACACAATAGAAAAGCTCACCTCCACCTCGCCAGTCTCATTTTCTTTGAGTACAAAAGACAAGTTCTCTAGATCAGGACCTGCCAACAGCCTCAAGTAGAGTGGGCATTCTGATAACGCCAACTTCTGGAAAAGATCTGAAAAATCAAGCAAACAATACCTTAGTATTATACATGGCAGTAGTACTATACAATACTAAAGTATATTTCATCTTCACTTGAACGCTTACCCTGGCTGTCTCGACGGGTCAGGCGGTAGAGGGCAAACTTGCGTGGGTTATCCTGTACCATGAACTTCTTCAGCAGGCCCTGAATGACCTCCCTGACCATGGTGGTACTGCTAATGTGTAGCTGTTTAACGGCATCGTTGGGCAAGTAAAAGGATGTGCGGTTATCTGAACTATCAGAAGAGGAACACGGTCCTGGCGACTGCCCGTCCACAGAAAATACAGTCACGGGCCTGCGCAACTTCAAGTAAACCTTTATGAAACCAGTGTATGTGCCATCTGAGCTCTGGAGGATAACAAAGCAACTTCAGTCAGGTCATTTCTCACTGTAAAATTTGTTTGTTGACAAATCCTTACTCACTAATTTCATTCCATTCTCCGTCACTTTGGAGTTGTAGTCATCTATTTTAGCTTTAATCTCTCCTTCTGTGAGGGATGTTGGCTTCTCTTCTTCTTCCTCTCTTGTGACACTCTATAACCAAGATAAAAAAACAGTGAGCTCAAGGTTAGATGAGGCATCTTTATATCGAATACAGTAGAGGCCTTGTACGGTATTAATAAGCTGTGGAGGAAAAGGCCATCAACATCAACACTGCAGAAAAGCTGATGTTGACATTATAAGCATTTGGCATGACAAAACTTGACAGTGCAGATGAATTTATGTGAAGGTGCTGTATTAGTCGCATTGGTTGGACTCTCAACTAGCTGATTTTTTGGTGAACTTTGCTTTTTGGAGTTCCTCTGAGGTATTTCCACTGTAGTTTTTTTATTTTTTGTATTGACCACTGGTATTGAGTGTAGAGAGAGCAGAACATATCTCAGAGGGGACAACTGATTGCTGCTGAGATTGCAGACACTTGCATTATCAAGATAGCCAGTTATCTGCCCTTCACAAGAAGCTATTATGTAATGTATGGTGCTTACATGATGGAAAAACTGCCCTGTGCTGGATCCGTATTGAGTGAAACATGGGAGGATGGGAGATCCTCCACATGATTCTGAACTGAATTGAATATATCTAATGACTCGAATACCTTTAATTTGCGATATTAAATGAGTTTTGTGGCTTATAGTCCATGTCTGTTATCCATTCGCTAGTGTACTGCTAAATATTGACAAAAATAACCTTTAGGAGATTGTAAACTGAAAATGTACAGAATATATTTGACAAGTATGAACAATGATGCTTGTCTTAGCAATACATTACTGTTCAGTTACTAAGTCAAGATTTGTAATGCTTTTGAAAGAAGTCTCTTATACTCACCAAGCCTGCAATCAGTAATACTGTGAAATATTATAATTTAAAATAAAACATTTTTTATTTTAATATATTTTAAAATGTATTTTTCCTGTAATGCAAATCAAAATTTTCAACATCATTACTATTTTTTGTATTGACCACTGGTATTGAGTGTAGAGAGAGCAGAACATATCTCAGAGGGGACAACTGATTGCTGCTGAGATTGCAGACACTTGCATTATCAAGATAACCAGTTATCTGCCCTTCACAAGAAGCTATTATGTAATGTATGGTGCTTACATGATGGAAAAACTGCCCTGTGCTGGATCCGTATTGAGTGAAACATGGGAGGATGGGAGATCCTCCACATGATTCTGAACTGAATTGAATATATCTAATGACTCGAATACCTTTAACTTGCGATATTAAATGAGTTTTGTGGCTTATAGTCCATGTCTGTTATCCATTCGCTAGTGTACTGCTAAATATTGACAAAAATAACCTTTAGGAGATTGTAAACTGAAAATGTACAGAATATATTTGACAAGTATGAACAATGATGCTTGTCTTAGCAATACATTACTGTTCAGTTACTAAGTCAAGATTTGTAATGCTTTTGAAAGAAGTCTCTTATACTCACCAAGCCTGCAATCAGTAATACTGTGAAATATTATAATTTAAAATAAAACATTTTTTATTTTAATATATTTTAAAATGTATTTTTCCTGTAATGCAAATCAAAATTTTCAACATCATTACTCCAGTCTTCGGGGTCACATGATCCTTCAGAAATCAGAAATGAATATGTTGTTTTGCTGCTCAAGAAACATTTCTTAATTATCAATGTTGAAAACAGTGTTACCTAATATTTTTGTGGAAACTGATGCATCTTACTGACCCCAAACCTTTGAATGGTGGTATACATAATATCATTAACAGGCATTATAAAATGTTGATATTTATATCTGAACATTACTACTCTTATTGATCAAATTCCAGGGGGCAATATCACTCACTAAGTGCTACTACTATAGATACCAATCTCTCTGTCTCTCTGTGTGAGTACAGAATGACAGTAACAGTTTGAATGCCTCTTGAGACTTCTTTAAACAAATCCAGGTTGATCGAGACAAGACTAGAGTCAATGCAAATACATTTTGGCCTCTGAGGAGTGCACTACAGATCCATAAAGATTTATCAATAAACAACAGGGAGAAACACCTGTCATTTTAATGTTCTCGTGCAGTCAAATCTCAAAGGATGTGCTATTTATTCCCTCTCTTTTCATGAATTGAACAGTGTATTATATATATATACTGTATGTATGTATATATATATATATATATATATATATATATATATATATATATATATGACTCTGGCCCACAAAAA